AAACCTGCACATTTCGCTAGTTACGTGCTAAGATTTTCACCAGAAGCCTGAACAAATGTGAACAGCTAGGAAGAGTGGATCAAATCGTTCTAGTCGATGAGGTTCCCTTCCAGTTATTCACAAAGAGACAATACTCAATATTCTAGCCAAAACAAGCAAATCCATTCCTTAAGCATGCTTTGGTACAATGCAATGCATCTCCCAAAATGGGAGTGACTAGACTAGTAAAACTCTAAATGCAAAAATAATAAGTTTAAAGAAAAATTACAGCTATAGACCCAGATGGAGAACTGAGGAGAAAAATTCAACGATTCCATATACTACCAGTATAATGAAGTACAAAAAAAAGCCTGACGAAGTTCCTAGAAGAAGACGGCACTATGAAGTGATGGAGAACGTATGCTAGACGATGTACAATGGTAGGCAGTGACGTCAAATGAACCGTGCGTTTCTATTATGTTGAAGAAGACAATTAGCACTCGAAAACTTCTAAGACTTCCCCCATTCCTTTAGTTTTTCCCTGTCGAAATATGAGCGGCGTTGCTGGTCGAATATATTCCGGACTATTCATGAGCTCAAACATCACAGTCGCCCATTTTCCTTGTTCGAGCGATGGTCTGTCGATATCGACAATGGCTGCCGTTTGTCGAACCGAACCGATGTATACTAGAACATCATTTTTCATACGTGAAAAAAGAAGAAAAGTAACTGAAGGTCACCCGAATATTGAAAAAATCAACTTCGGAAACAGTATAGAAAACGAAATCATTTACCTGTTGCCTGAAAACCAGTACAGAGATGGCGAGTTGGATGTGACAGCAAAAATAGCGATGCCACAAATCTACGAGAACAAGTTGGTTTGGTGGCAGCAGGAAGCAGAACCATCCCCTAGAGAAAAAATATAACACTTGTGCATTTTTATGAAGTTGAGACAACTTACCCTCCTAAGAGGAAGATTTCCCTTTGATCGTCTATTTAGAGCTATACTGACAGCTTCCCCTGGTAAAACCGCTTGTACTGGCTGTCGACTACGTCTGATCGAAGCAATATAAGCCTAAAC